TGTGTTGGCAGCGCAAGTCCTTACCCCTACACCACTAACAGGCCTCGCCTTTCTGGTGGTTGGAATCCACCAGTGACTCCATGGGGAGAAGATGGGCAGCTTCTTCTTGTGTGATTTATCATCTCTGAAAACCGTCTGGAGGTTTGGCTGTGATTCAATTCTGATTCCATGGCTATGAGTTTCTTCCTTATTGTAGAAAGATGGGCAATCTCCTTTTGTGCAGTTTGTTCTTAGTTGTTGTGTATTGTTGAGTTGGAACCGGCCCATACCTGATCTGCCGGTGGGTTTTCAGAGGCAGTTAATAGCACAGGAGGAGATTGCTCAGGCTTCTCCCGCATAGCAGCTGGAGGATTTGAACCCAGCACTTTCAGAATTGCTGCACAGCTTCTTAGCACTAGGCTACCAGAGTGTACTGTGCAATTTACAGCCTCCTAAAAACCAGCTGGAAGATGAGCTATGAGTTGATCCCAATTCCACACAATGAGTGGAATTGCTGAATTTAGGGGATATCTCTATTTTTGCTGTGCGCTTTTATCCAGTCACAGAAGGCCAACTTGAAAAAGCTCAAGAAAGAAAGTGAAATTCTTATTCCATCCCTAGAGGAAGAGAAAGAGTGAGGTGCTTAGGCCTGCCTTGAGTCACTTGGCCTCAGAGTTGTAGAGAGGTGGTCCCTAAGGAAAAATAGAGGTGCCATGTTTGAAGGAGGCTGCTGGGTGGGGAAATGAGAGATGCCCACTATAGTACACCCTTTGGTTGCCTTCAACTCTCAAAGGCTCTCTCCCCAAACACACATCTGTACCACATGCAGACTTAAACACCAGGGCAGATGGTGGAAGACCTAGGCCCCTTCTTTGCCAGGATCCACTCACTGTCTCCCTTAATCTCTAGCAGTGACGATGGGAACTACTTCTCCCTCTGCCTCTTTCACATCCCGTGTGGTCAGTTTAGTTCTGGGGGTCTCTGAGCATTGCCTCAGAGCTTCTGTTCACCCGACCTGGGGCTGCTCCGGCAGCTGGGCTGCCGAGGACAGTTGTCCAGTGAGAGTACATGATTCATTATGGCTACAGCAGCTTCCTGACTCCAGACATGCCTCAGAGATCATGTGGGTTTAGTTCTAGACTCCCTGATAAAGCCAGTCTCGCAGTATGGTGAGCCATACAATTTTGTTGGGGCCCCAGTGTATAAAAACGTTGTGTGGACTCTACTGTAGAAGTAGGAAGTGTGCAATAGTGTCTTGAGGAAGTTTGAAATATTTGCGGATTGAAATGGGACACACAGCACATTGTGCTAGGGTGGACATAGCACTGATGGACTGGCTCAGACAGAGTTGTTACAGACTTTCTCAGCTGGTGAAAGATGCGATGTGTTCTGAGAGCAAGACCCCCCACCCCCACCCCACCCCCCACACCCTGAGCACAATGGAGAAAGGTCTGTCTGGATCCACATCCAGAGACCTAGCAGTGACCGGCCTCTGGTTTCCTTTGTTTTGAATGAAGTAGGTCCTGGAGGTCCAGCCACGCCCCCAGCCCTCTGCCTGATGGCACCCATCGCCCATCGTGGCCCTGGCTCTGGCCCCCAAGGACAGGATGGTGGAGCTGCAGCCCTGTGCTCTGCGTTGCCTGGGATGTGGAGTTGATTCTGACTCTCCGTGACTCTGTAAAGTGCTGCCCCATAGGAACACCCAGCCGTGATCATTACAGAAGCAGCCTGGCCCAGCTTTCTCCCTCTGAGAGCCCAGTGGGTTCAGTTGGCTGTGGAGTGTTTAGTTACTACACTTTGGCTCTGGTTACCTTATAGAGAGTAATTATCATCTTCTTGAGGCTCCTTGAGGAGCCCTGGCTCATGGAAAGGTCAGGGGTTGGAATCCCCCAGCGGCTTCTCGGGAGAAAGTCTCCTCCTGTAAAGATTTACCACCTCCTCCTGTAAAGATTTACCACCTCAGAAGCCGATGGAGGGTCTCTGTAAGTCACACTCAACCCGACAGCAGTGGGGAGGAGTGTTGAAAGGGTCTCCAAGCCCACAGTTCCTCTGATACTCTCCCTCCTTCCTGCCTGCCCTGACTCCAGCTTGTCGCCTTCAATCCATCCAAGGTTTCAACCTTGCAGAAAACAGATGAACTGAGTTTGGATAACTCAGACTGCTGGAGGCAGAAAGGTGCTTCCTCGGGGAGGTTGTTGGCCTCCCCTACACCTCCCCCTTTTTGGCCAGGTGTGTCTTTCCTGAAAGGATTAGAGAAGACTCCAGGGCTCCCCAGTATGTGTGGTATGAGCAAAACAGCTTCAGAATGATAGACTCACTTGACATCCAGAAAGAGAAAAAGAAATGTTTTCTTAATGCACACTAAGAAAACAAAAGGTCACAGGATCATCTTTCCTGGGGAGGGGGGAGGTTGCAGAGTAAAACCCTGGAGGACACGGCAGGGCCTGGGACTCGGTGGGGGTGGAGGAGGGGTGAACACTGTAAGGCTGGGGACTTTGGGAGGGGACACACTGGGCCTGGGGGCCTTGAGAGGGGTGGGCAGAGAAGAATGTTTAAACTCCACTCTTGACAGAGGAAATGGGGGTCTCGCTGGGGAGACAGAAATCACACCCCAGAAACAATGAAGAGGGAGCAAATGTGAATTCATGCTGCAGCCTTAAAAACGTGACTAGGCCCCATCCTTCTCTCTTCACGATCCTACCTTTATGACCCAGTCACATACCGCCTTCCAATAAAGACATTCCTCGAAGCGTCCTTATGTACCTGGAGGTCTGTGTCCACGGCCCTGGTGATCTTATTCTCACTTTCCTGAAGACAACATGTGCTCAGAACGCCTGCAGCAGAGGCCGGGGTCTCCCTGCTGTTGTTTGTGACCAGATCTCACTGCCATGGGCCACTCGCAGAGACGCTGATATGGACATTTAGCCTCCAGAATGGAGAGAAAATGCAGCCCTGCTCTTTAAAATACCTCCTGTTCTTTAAAAACCACTGCTTAGGATATTTCTGTCATTGCAACCTGAGGAAAACCAAGTTGTGCCGTCAAGTTGACTCACAATGGCTCCATCCACGTTCAACAGAACCAAACCAGCCTGATCTGGTGCCATCTTCACACCTGACAGCATCCTCAAGACTATTGCTGTGGCCTCTGATAACACACCTGAGGTTTGTAGGACCAAGTCTCCCATCCTTGCACGAAGGAACATTCTGGTCGCACTCTTTCCAAGGTAGGGCTGTTTCTTCTTCTGACAGGCCATGGTATATGTCGTAGGGAGCTCTGGTGGCAGAGTTCACAGAGAGTTGTGCTGCTAACCCAAAACAGCGCTTCTCCGGCAGTTCGAATCCACTCACTTTCCTACAGGGACAATCTCCTCCCACTGACTTACAGCCTCTCAGAGCTCACTGGGAGGTGAGCTATGGGTAGGTCCAACTCCATAGCAATGAGAGTAATACGTTCAATATTCTTTGTCAATGCCACAAGTCAAAGGTGTCGGTTCTTCTTCAGTCTTCCTTATTCATTGCCTAATTTTAAATGCATTTGAAGAAACTCCCTCACAGACAATACTATTGATTTGGAACTAACTCCTAGCTGACCCTCCAGCAGGTTTTCAGAGGCTCTAAGTTGCATCAGAAGAGATTGTCCATCTTTCTCCCATGCATATGAGACAATTGAAAATACCATGATTGAGTCAGGTGCATCTTAATCTTTAGTATGACATCCTTGCTCTTTAGCACTTTAAAGAGGTCCTTGGCAGCAGATTTACCTCACACAATCCATTATTTAATTTCTCGATTGCTACTTCCAGGGGTGTTGAGGAGAGAGAAGTAAGGGAGCTATCTAGTCTTGACTTCTAAGATCTGCACAGGCATGTGAACTGTTTGTGTCTTTCTCCCGGGACTGAGCTGCCTGTGATCCTGTGTTAAGTCTGTCTTTAGTGTTATCCCCACATGGAAGGAAGTTTCCAGCTTAGATGAATGAAGGTTGATTGACTGGATGAGCAAAGGGGCACAGATGAGCATTAAGAGAAGGGACAGAAGCCTGTGAGGAGGCTTGATGGAGGACGAAGCTTGGTCCTGGGTCTGGAGGTGGGTTGGCTGCCTGAGGCATGAGAAGGAGGCAGCATCAGTGTGGATGGTCACAGAGAGATTTAAAAGAGAGCTGTGGCCCTCCCTGGTCCTGCTGGGAGGCTTGATCGGGTAGGTAGGGACAGTAGGGAGGCAGAGAGAAGGGATGAAGACCAGAGAGGGCTGCCTGGCATGTCCTGACACAGTACAGGCCTCCATGTGGGGCTTTCCAGGGTCCCGAGGATTCCTGGGGTGTAACTGATGAGATCAGCGGCTGGTGGGACCCTGCGGGAGCTTCAGTTTATCCTCTCCTCTGTGCAGGCCCAGCAGGGGTCTGGATCTCATTCCCAGCACCATACTTGCCGTGGATGGAATCTGGTTACCAGTTACCAGCCTGGCAGGCCTAACTGCTGCAGAGACCCCCAGCCTAAACACCAGGCCGAGTGGGTGGAGGAGATTTCTGGGGGCCTCTCACAGCTGCAGTCGCCAAGTGAGAGGGGGTTCAATAGTCTCTATCCTATAGCGAGGCATATCTGCCCAGGACAGGAGCCCAGTGGGGCCGGAGGACCCAGGTAGAAAGGGCTGGTGCTCAGGGACACAGGAAAAGGCAATGCCTTGTAGGTAGCCTCAGCTGTGGCCCCAGCCGGTGTGGCTGCTTAGGGTTCTGGTCAGCAAACAACCTGCCGGGCTGTGGTGCCCACCTGGGGAGTAGGTTACAGGGTCCCAGCTGGGCAGTCCCCACCCCAGGTGCCGTGGCCAGCTTATCTCCAGCTGGCCTGTTCCCTACAGCATTATCGGGAGAATGAGAAGGAATCAGCGCCGACTTCCACCCTGTGGGACAGTCTGCAGGTGCAGGAACAAACAGACCTTGGGCGCAGCCAGGTGACCTCAGCCCGGCAGGGTCTTAAAGGCCCCAGCATGGACGTCCTGTCTCAGTCTGACCGTCCGCCAGCTGCAGCATGAGGGCCCTGCTAGTGCTGAGCACGCTGCTGGTGGCAGCCGTTGCCAAAGATGACTTTGTCGGGTAGGGACCTGCGGGGAGGGGTACCCGGGGAGGGGACTTGGCCCCCAGGGAGTCTGGGGTCGATAGATGAACAGATGGACAGACAGACGCATGAGAGCATGGCCAGGGACCCAGGGCCAGGTGGCGTCCTGGGGAAGCATGCTAAGCAGGGTCCCCAGGACAGTGGCCTGAATCCCGGAGAAGTCAGATGCCCTGAGAGGGCTTCTCCAGAGAAGGGAGAAGGAGGGTTTGGATTGGCTTTGCAGAGAGAAATGGAGGCTAAGCTGGCTTGGGGCAGTACTGTCCTAGGGCTTCCGTGGAGGGGGAGACAAGACGGGAGGCACCTAGGGCCCCATTGCTAAGACCCAAATGGACACTCAGCTGGGGTTCTGGCTGCCCCACTGTGGGTGGTGCGGCCGGGAGGGGTTTGCCAGCACTCAGTCCCCATCCCCCAATGCCCTGCCCAGCCACCAGGTGCTCCGGGTCTTCACAGTCGATGAAGTCCAGGTGCAGAAGGTGAAGGAGCTGGAGGAGCTGGAACACCTACAGGTAGTGTCCCCACCGCCCGCTGGGTGCCCAGTGTCTGGGTCTGTCTGCCCAGCCTCCCAGGAGGGGGGGACAAGGGGTTGGTCCCTGTCAGCACCTCCCAGGCTCTTCTGTCTCAGGGCATCTAAGTTGAGGACCAGCACCCCTTTGGGCAATTCCCTCTCCCCCCGTAAGCCTCCACTCTGCTTCCTGGCCATCTCCCTGACCAGGCCAGGCTCTGTCCTGCCTCTGACGCCTCCATGCTGACCCGGTTATGCGGTATGTCTGGTACCAGGCCCCCCAGCCTCCCCAGTGACAAGTTTCTCTCTCCCTGCAGCTGGACTTCTGGCGTGGCCCGACCCAGCCTGGCATGCCCATCGACATCCGCGTGCCCTTCCTGAGCCTGCAGTCCGTCAAGGTCTTCCTGGAGTCCCACGGGATCAAGTACTTCACCATGATCGAGGACGTTCAGTCGCTGCTGGACGAGGAGGAGGAGCAGATGTTCGCCTTCCAGGCCCGGGCCCGCTCCACCGATGCCTTTAACTACGCCACGTACCACACCCTGGAGGAGGTGAGCTCCTGCCTGGCCCGGGCACCCAGTGGGTCCTCGGTGGGCGGACTTCAAGCATGAGCCAGGCTGGGCTGGGCACACGTGGCCGCAGGGCCCCAGCTGGCCGGTGTAGTGGAGACACGTTTGTGCCCACAAATCCTTAAGGCCACCCTGCCCTGCTCTCTCCTCAGATCTATGACTTCATGGACCTGCTGGTGGCTGAGAACCCAAATCTCGTCAGCAAGATTCAGATCGGCAGCTCCTATGAAGGCCGCCCCATTTACGTGCTGAAGGTACCCTGGGGCAAACCCCCTCATTGTGCTTTCACGTGGGGTGTAAGCTCCCCTGGATGAACTGCTGTGTGAGAGTTGTGCACTCTTGGGAAGGTCCACGTTTCCATGATGTTGAGTGCACACACACACACACACACACACTCTCCCCATGAAGTTTCAGTAACCCAAGTATTTCCCATCCAGGGTCACACTAGTAAAGCTGCTTGGGGTCTGGTTCATGCAACTACAGTATTGTTTTGGGCTGACTGTCGTAGGTATCTAGGGCTGCTATAGTGGAAATCCCCAAATGGGTGGCTTTAACAAACAGAAATTCATTTTCTCATGGTTTCTCGCTCACTCACTGTTGTCGAGTCTGAACTGACTCAGCTGACCCTTGGGTGGGTTTTCCAAGGCTGTAAATCACTCGGAGGAGATTGACCGTCATTCTCAGGAGCCCCCGGTAGATTCCTCCTGTGGGTTGACAATGCGAGTCCCTGCCTCCTAGGCCATCCGCTCTCCCTTCTCACAGTCTAAGGGACTGAAGTCTGAAGTCAGGGCCCTCAATCCATGGGAAGACTTTTTCTCTCTGTCAGCTCAGGGGGCGGGAACAGGGGGCATGATCCTTGCCTTTCTCCAGCCTGTTTCTTGGTTCCTTGGAGCTCTCCACTGACCTGGCATCTCTCTCTCCACATCCAAAACTGCTTAACAAAGAAAAGCCCTCTGAGGATGGGGTGATAAACACCCAATCTAAAAACCAAACCCACTGACACTGAGTTGATTCCTACTTGTACCAACTCTGTAGGGCAGAGGGAGACCGTCCCGTAGAAGAAACTAGAGGTCGTTATAGAAGCAGATCACCTTATCTTTTTACCCAAGAGCAGCTGGTGGGCTTGAAACTCCTCATCTCTCATTAACCGACTGTACTATCAGGGCTCGTCTTAGAAACCCAAGTACACAAAACCAAACCAAAACAGAAGCGAGCCTGTTGCCATCAAGTAGATTCTGATTCATAGCGGCCCCATAGACCAGATTTGAACAGTCCCATAAGGTTTCCACAGCTATAGGTCTTTAGGAAGCAAAGAGTCATGTCTTTTTCCTATGGAGCAGCTGGTGGGTTCAAACCACTGACCCTCAAGTTAGCAGCTGAGCACCTAACACTGCATCATCACCAGGACTCTCTAGGCATAGAAGCAGAGGTTAGGAGTTACAGCACATATTTTTGTGGACACTATTCAATCCAAACTATAATCTCCCTAAGAAAATGCAGAGGGCAGGAGAGTAGAGCCTGGAAGTCAAGTGGAGTCAAATCTGTCCCAGGCCAAGGGCCAGTGGCTAAGATCTGCAGGACCCTGTCTAGTCCCAGCCCCACCTGCAGCCCTTCTACCTGAGATCCACAGGTAGCTAGCTAGCATCCCATGGTGCAACAGCCCAGCCTCAGCCTCAGCCTCACCTGCAGCCCTTTCTACCTGGGATCTGCAGGGAGCAATTGGGCCTTGACTGTTGCTAGATTCCCTTTGAGGAGGTGAGGCATGACCCTGACTGTGGAGACCCTGAATGGCCTCTTGTTAGGAAGTGGTTAATTCACCCCAGGTTTGGAATCTTGCTGCCCTCGGTCATCAGAGCAAAGCCCTTGCTGACCATTGCTCCGCCCCTCCTCCCCTAGTTCAGCACTGGTGGAACCAATCGTCCGGCGTTCTGGATCGACACCGGCATCCATTCCCGGGAGTGGGTCACCCAGGCAAGCGGAGTCTGGTTTGCAAAGAAGGTAATAAGCCTGGGAGGGGAGGAAGGTGCTGGCCAGGGTGGGTGATGGTATGAAAGGTCCACAGAGACCCCTTTTCCACCCAGAAGGAGTGCTCACCCAGAAGGGTGTGTGGGTGGTGCCCCCTCCTCTAGCTTGGCAGAGGCCCACCTGCCCACCCTGACTACTGGCCCTCTGTCCCCACCAGATCGTAGAGGACTATGGCAAGGAGGCAGGACTCACGGCTTTTCTCGACAAGTTGGACATCTTTCTGGAGATTGTCACCAATCCTGATGGCTTTGCCTTCACCCACAGCAAGGTGCCACACTGTTCCTGTCCTCAGGGAGCCGGGTGGGCCCGAGGCCCACAGATGATCCACCTCCAATCCCAGCCCCAGAGCTTAGGGGAGGGACAACCAGACCTGTCCCCTGGGCCAGTGCTTCTCAACCCTGCACCCCTGCCTGGCATCTGGGGCAGGATAGTTCTCTGTCGAGGCTCTCCTGTGCATTCTACGAAGTTGAGCGGCGTGCTAACCTGTGCTCACTACATGCCAGGAGCACCTTCCAGGTGACCCCCCCAAAAAAAAACCCCAACAAAAAAAAAGTCAGCAGAACTGTCAGACGCCTCTGGTTGATGATGTTGTTGTTGCTGATGCTGTCAAGTGAGAACTGACTCATAGCTGACCCTCCAGCAGGTTTTCAGAGGCAGTAAATTGCACAGGAGGAGACTGCCCATCCTTCCCACATGGAGCAGCTAGTGGATTTGAACTTCATGCCTTTGGGATTGGAGTGCACGTTAGGCCACCAGAACTCCCTCAGGGTGGGGCCAAATGGTCCCTGATTGAGAATCACTGTCTGCACCCTCCCTTCCTGGCACTACCACTCAAAGTAGACATCTCACGCCCTCTTCACTTTCCTCCGGGTGGACCCTTTGGCCTGATGCCCTGACCCTTTGGCCTGATGCCCTTCCACTGGTTGAATGTGGTTTGAGATCCCATCCCGAGCCCCCAGGCACTGGATCTGGGTACTTGGAGCTGGCCATGGCTTCCGGCCTCGCCCATGGGCCTGAGGCCCAGGCTAGCTCAGCGTGGCCCCCTGTCTAAGCCTCAATCTTTTTGATTCTGCAGAACCGCTTGTGGCGCAAGACACGCTCCGTCACTCCCGGCTCCTCCTGCGTGGGCGTGGACCCCAACAGAAACTGGGACGCTGGCTTTGGGTGTAAGGTCCCATGTGATTTGGGGAGCAGATGTGGGACAACCCTCGTTTTGTCACCCTGAACCCCTTCCAGGCCCAGCGATGAGGGGAAGGGGGGAGAACACCCATGAGGCTGCCCTCCTTGTCTGCTAGCTAGTGCGGGGGGTTTGTAGCTCAGAACCTACTCCCTCCCTTGGCTGTCACTGCAAGAACTGGTGTGGTGGGGAGCTGGGCCTCCAGCATGATCCACTCCAGCCAAGGCCTGCGGGGAGGGAGGCAGGCCCTCAGGAGGAGTCCACGAGACTCACAGTGACACAATAAAACTGCCTCCGAGGGTCCCAAAGCTATAAACCCTTTCCCTCTCAGAGCTGCTGGTGGATTCCAACCACTGAACCTTTGGTCTAGCAGCCCAATGCTGAATCCACTGTGCCACCAGGGCTCCTTAAGAGGCCTCTGGCTTTTCTTAATGCAGAGGCGGATCCCTCCTGAGCTCCACGCCATCCACCTCCAAGCCAGGACCTGGAGGTGTGGAAGCAGCCGCGGGGTGTGGGGAGTGAGTGCCCATGATCCTCTCTCCCTCCTGCAGTGGCCGGAGCCAGCAACAGCCCCTGCTCAGAGACCTACCACGGCCAGTACGCCAATTCTGAAGTGGAGGTCAAGTCCATTGTGGATTTCGTGAAGGCCCATGGGAACATCAAAGCCTTCGTCTCCATCCACAGCTACTCCCAGCTTCTCCTCTACCCCTTCGGCTACAAGACAGATCCAGCCCGCGACCAGAGTGAGCTGGTACGTGCTGCCCAGCACTGACCTGGCTGCCATGGCGGCCTTGGCCGGAATAGGCTTCTCCCACCAGGCCTGCTTCAGGCACAGGTGCAGGACGCTCACCTCCTCCCAAGGAACCCTTGTGGCCTGGGAAACAGGCTCAGAGTGGTCGAGTCCTGCTGCCAAGGGGCTGGGTTCAGCTCTGAACAGAGAGCACTGTCCTTTGGAGCTGCAGGTGAGGGTGGGGGTCGGGCTCCGGCCAGTGTGGCCACAGAAAAGGAAGTGCTGGGCAGACACTGCAGGAGCAGCAGGTGGTGGGCACTGGAGGGTGATCGACTGGGCCCTCATCTGCATGGCACATGCTGTGGGACACTGTGCTGGTAGCCAGTCCCTGATGATGTGTCTGGGTACGACAAGAGCCTTTGCTTGGTGTTTGCAGCATCAGCTGGCCAAGGCTGCAGTGACCGCCCTGTCTTCTCTCTACGGGACCAAGTACAAGTACGGCAGCATCATCAGCACAATTTGTAAGTGGCTGTGTTGTCTCTGCTGCTGACCTTGGGAGGAACTTGAACTAGCTTTCTCTGTGAGTGTGGGTGAGAAGGGCCCCCTGACCATGGCTCTGGGGTTTGGAAGCCCAAGCAGGACATTTTTCTTGATTTTTCACTCAATTACCGTGAGTGCCTCTGAAAATTCTTCTCCCTTTTTAGGGGGTTAAGTCCAGCGTCACACACGGAGGGGGTGGGTAGTTCTGCTGAGATTTGTCTAGAACCTGGGAATGCAACATAGAAATCCTCCTCCTCAAGTGCCCATCAGCGCTGATGCTGAGATGGTCCTGATGCAGGATGCACGTGTGCAGAGGAGAACCGCTTTGTAGGGTTTTCAAACCGGTGACCTTTTGAAAGCAGATTCCCAGGCCTGTCTTCCAAGGTGCCTGTGGGTGGCTTCCAACCACCGACTTTTGAGCCCGTGGTCTAATGCTCTGTCATGTCCACTCACCTGTCATATTTAAAGAATACACTTCCAGCATAGAAATGCAGTGCCCGGAAGGAGGAGTACTATGTGAAAGTGATTAGCCACTGTGTTGGGAGCCCCCAGGGCCCCAAGATCCCTTCTTGCACACTTGGGATGTAGCTGGGTGTGAAATAACTGAGGCCATGAGACTTGGCTCTGACCAGGGGGTGGAGGGTGACGGATGGGAAGCGGAGGGTACGTTAGGTGGTTCCAGGAGACAAGAATTGAGTTCTAGGAGTGAAGGGCTGAGGCCCTTGTTGGGCATGAGTTCTAGGAGTGAAGGCAGGCAGGGCAGTAGGCAGAGTGTCAGGGACGCCGCAGGAACAGCAAGGAGCTGGCTGGGGCTGCAGTGAGGGAGGGCAGGGCTGTGGTCAGGGGCCAGGTGTGGAGGGAGCTTGGCATGGGAAGCAGTATGTCAACAGATAGGTGAGACGGCTGGAAGGGAGAAGTCAGGGTCCCAGGAACAGAGTGGAGGTGACTCTACACGTCCCTCACATACCTTTTGACCCTCAGGCTCAAATGTGGAGACAGGGAGTCATCTTACCCAAGGATGGTCTTGCTTCTGGGCCCTGGGCCTGCCCTGGAAATGTTTTGTCTTGTTGAGTCAATAAGTTCCATGAAACATTCCATGCTTCAAGTTAAACCCTGATTCCCGCCCTCCCTCGCCTTACTCAATTCCTAAACAAAGAGAAGACTTTTTGCATTTTAAAAAATTTTATTTATTTATCTATTTTTAATTTTTGTGTGTGTACCATCAAATGGGATTTGACTGGTACAGGAGGAGATTGCCCCTCTTTCTCCAGCAGAGCATCTGGTGGATTTGAACCACACACCTCTGGGATTGCAGTGCAGCTTCTTGCCACTAGGCCACCAGAGATCCCTAAAGAGAAGACTTCAAAAAAATTTTTTTCATTTATTTTTAAAGGCAATGATTCTCCCATTCCCTCTTTCCCCAGCCCTTGGCAACCATTAATCTACTTTCCGTCTCCATGCATTTGCCTCTTCTAGAAATTTCTTATCTGTCCTTTTGTGTCTGACTTCTTACAATCAGCAGGACGTTTTCAAGGCTCATCCTTGTGGTAGGTCAGGACTTCCGTTCTCTCTGTGGTGAAGGAACGCTCCATGTCTGGATAGATGTCATCATGTGTTTCCATTCGTCTGCTGGGCTCTGAGCATCTGGGTTGCTTCCAGCCTTTGGCTACTGAACAGGCTTTTGTTTGCCCTTTCCCCTGAAGACCCAAACCACAGTGGAACCAAGCCTGGTTCAATCAGACCCTTAATGAAAATGGCTGGTGGACAAGCAAGAGACTTTCTGGCATCCCGTAATGGGAAGGGGGTCATTGTTGGTCAGCTTGTTCGTACCTCTTGGCTTAGATACTCCAGTAGGAGTTTCTTGGGAGGTCATCAGTAGATAGCTAGAAGCCTTTGGGAACATTCCCTAAGTGGGCTGACACACATTCCTCCCTGCCCTTGTCTTGCCCCAGACCGAGCCAGTGGAGGCACCATTGACTGGGCCTATGAGCAGGGCATCAAGTACGCCTTCACCTTTGAGCTGCGGGACACTGGCTTCTACGGCTTCCTGCTGCCAGCCTCACAGATCGTCCCCACCGCCACTGAGACCTGGCTGGCCCTTCAGGTCATCATGGAGCACACTCAGAACAACCTGTACTGAGCTGACCCATGAGCTGACCCCCCCACCTCCTCTCTGCCCCCGCCCAGGAAACCAAATAAAATCCGAGTGTACACAGAACAGAATCGAACCTTGAGTTTGCATGTGAGACACAGGTGGCGTGTGGGACTTTTCCAGCTGGGGCAGAAGTGGTTGAGGTCCTGCAGTCCGGCTGGAGATGCGTGAGTGGCGTGATGAGATGGTCCCTAAATCCCCCTCTCTCTCAAGATCCTCTGATGTTGTTTCTAAATGGTGTCTGCACTAATGACATCACCCAGAGGACAGTTCCTCAGTGGGGTGATGTGCTCATAACTTAGCAGCTACTAACTGAATGGTGGACACTGCATGGTGACGAGGAATTCAGCTCACACCATAGTCTAGCTAGTTGCATCCACTCATCTATAAAATCAGTAATGAAGCCTATGACATATACTAAGTCTGTCCAAAGTAGATATTTCAGCCAAATGAAAAAATGTCTATAAGGCAAAATATGGTCTTCTACTCTAGAATGAAATCAGAAGAGTTGGGTTTAATTAAGTAATTTACTGAAGGTCAAAGACAAAAGCCAATCCCAGGACATGACTGGTAACAGTGGATAATGGGGACTTAGCCTTTCGGGGTGGAAGTAGTTGACTTTTCATTCACTGTGTCCCTTTGACATCCCCTGGACATTGTCTTGGTCACCGATCCTGTCCCCACTCACCACCTCTCCTCCGCATTCCCACAGTCTCTCAGTGCCAGGCTCTCCAACCTCAGCATCGTCTACTCCCCCTAGAGTCTGACACCCTCCTTCACTTTGGTGACTCTGATGGCTGTGACACGAGACCCAATGACCAGCACCCCAGTACACAGCAGATCTCAACATTTTTGCAATCTAATATCCACCTTTAGCTTCTTCTCAGTCTTTTCAATATGTGACTGTGGGATGAAGCAGCTCCTACGGGCATCACTGGGGAACTAGGCTGAATTGTTAGCTGCCCAGAGGGGCTGGGGATAAACCCACCTCTCACTGTGCCTGTCTGGCCAGCCCTCCTAACGTCTTCAGCTCCATTGACTGGTCTTTCCTGCCTAAAACATCCCTAAGTTGTCTTTCAGTATTATTTTTGCTACAAACATTTTTATTATTATTATTATTATTTTTTTAATGTGTGTACCGTCAAATCGGATCTGACTGGTACAGGAGGTGACTGTTCCTCCTTCTTCAGCAGAACATCTGGTGGATTTGAACCGTGTACCTCTGGGATTGCAGTGCAGCTTCTTGCCACTAGGCCACCAGAGCTCGCCTATTTTTGCTACAAACATTTAAAGAATGATGCCAAACATACATATATGTTTGGCCCTTGAACAATGAATGTGAGGACTTGGGGCTGTTGGAAATTCATGTATAACTTATGACTCCCTGAGCACCTAGTAACTGATAGCCTGCTGTTGACCAAATGTCTTACCAATAATCAATTAACAGATAAGAACCCGATATTCAACACAAGATAAAAAGATATTTTACAAAAAGTACAAGGGTTTTGTGCCTGTTAGTACAGCTACACCAACAATGCCTCCTTTTCCCCACAGTGGTCCTGGGATGACTTTATTATTAAAAAATAAACCCACGCTATAAACCTCACAGTTCAAACCATTCTTGTCCAAGAGGCAACCGGAGTGACATATTCCATTTATGAGAAAAGCTAGACTGTTGTTTTGACCTTTAGCTGTTGAAAGATGATCTGATGATTTTCAAGCACTCCACATGTCTTTATTTTGAAAATCATGAAACACAAAATCTATGTAACCAGGGATGGCAGTGGAGAAACCCATTTTAACTGCCCAGTTAGGGCTGGAAGGGAGTGGATCACTCCATTTTGTTGTTGTTTTTTAATAAAAGAAGAAAGTAAGCTAGTAAGGAAAACACATCATTTTCCAAAACTCGATTGTGTCAATCTTAGAATTGTTCATTAGGAGTAAAAAGAAAACAGCTCCATAATAGCAATGACCACAGTGTGAACACCCAGCCTCCGAGACTGACTGCCCTAGGCAAAGGCTGTTGGGATTGGGTGCTGATGCATGGCTTCTGACTCTGGTGACCTCCTGTGACTTGGGCTCGGCTTTCTTGGGTTTCCCAGCTGGAATCTTTGAACAGATCACCAGGTCTACCAGGTCTGTCTTTCTTGGAGCCCATCAGCCTTCCGCTTGGCAACCAAGAGCTTAATCATTTGCACAACCAGGGCTCCTTGACATATAAACACCTGATAGACATTCGTGCTCTCTACTTTCCCAAGTGAATTCACAAATTTTGTAGTCTGTATATTGTAGACTTGCTGGAAATCTTCATGCAAGAATTTCCAGAGATAAGATTTTGGAAGTTAAAAAAAAGGGGTCACAATCAGAGCGACTGTTGTGGGCTGTGGCAGATACCTCAGTGGGTCTTCAGAGGCTATGAAGCTCGCACTAGTGGAGATTTCTCATCTTTCTCCTGAGGAGCAGTTGGTGGATTCAAACTGCCTACCCTGGGTTGGAAGCACAATTCCTTACCCATTCGGCCACCAGAACTCGTGCCTCACGGCAGGCATTTAGTAAATGCTCATTAAATGCAAACGTGGAAGTTGCTAATACGTTCATTATTCTTTTGACATTTTTAACTGTGGGAAGGGCTTGCCATTTTTATTTGTAGCAATATACTGTCACTCATTTATGGGGAACACATTTTAAAAATTAGAAATAAAAACATTAAGCTCATTTCAAAACAGTAACTTTGGACAATACTGCATTCTTTGGAAAAAGCTATTCATAACTTTGAAGAGTTAAAAATAAAGCCAAGCCCAACTAACTCCATCATTTCTGACTTGTAGTGATTCTCATGGTTGTAGGAGCAGGTTTCTGAGGCTGTAAATCTTTATAGAAGTAGAAGGCTTCCTACTCCTCCCACAGAGTGGCTGGCAGATTTAAATGGCAACTTTTATATTAGTGGCCAAGCATTTCGACCACGACACCACCAGGCCTCGTTGTTATAAATAAAGGGGGTTTGAAAAAGGACTCATATAACAAAAAAAGAACACAAGAACCCAGCATACATGAAAAAGGACTGACCTTCCAAGTGATTTCTTCTATGTTAAAGAAAAACAAAAGTGTCCTTTTTCTCCCATCAGACTGGCAAAGACTAAATGGGCTGATGGCACAGGTTATCAAGGAAAAGGATAAATATTCTTCTCTGAAGGCTGACCTGGTAACATTAATGAACATTTTAAATGCATTGCCTCGTTGACTCTGAGAATCTTCTAGCAAGAATTTGGTAGAAATATTTGGACAAGTTCAAAAGTCCATATGTACAAGATTGTAATACTAAAACAAGGAAAAGAATCTAAATTATCAGTATAGATAAACACAGGAAAACTGCTGAGTGGATTCCAACTCGGGGTGACTGCCCACTCCCCAGAGCATGTGTCCAAGGCTGAGAATCTTTATGGGAGGGGGACAGCCTTTCTTTCCTCCATGGAGTGTCTAGTGGATTGACCCCGGGTTAGCAGCCTGACATGTTACACACTGTGCCAGCAGGGTTTCTTAAATATCAATATAGACGTGGCTAAAATAAATTGACTTTCACACAGTGTGGTATCATGATGTTATTAAAGTCTGTGTTGATATGGAAAACAGTACTATTAAGTGGAAGAAGCTGGCTTATAATAGGAATGGCCTGAAGTGGGACCATGAGGCTAGCTGCATAACTTTGCACATTTATTACAAGTCACTTAATTGTATGCTTACATGGTTGGATTTTATGATATATGTATTACACATAGAGAGTAATTGTTGTTTGCTGTTGAGTTGGAACTGACCCATAGCTGATCCTCTGGTGTGTTTTCAGAGGCAGTTAATCACACAGGAGGAGACTGCCCATCCTTTTCCTGCAGTGGCTGGTGGCCTTGAACCACCTGCCTTTGGGATTGCAGCACAGCTTCTTGCCACTAGGCCACCAGAGCTAAAAAGCTGGCTATAAAATAGTACATCAAGTGTGATTTGTTTGCTTGTTTGTTTAGGGCAAGAGAGCGCACACACACACATTGGAAGGTGATATTCCAATTAAGAACAGTGAGTACTGGGAATATATCCCAAAGAGCCCATAACTGACATCCAAGCAGATATATCACACCCATGTTTATCGCAGCTCTGTTCACAATAGCAAGGAGTTGGAAACCCCCCAGGTGCCCATCAACAAACGAATGGATAGAGAAGCTGTGGTATATTCACACAATGGAATACTACACTGCATTGAAAAAAAGGAACTCATGCAATATTATTCAAAATGGGTGAGCCTGGAGGACATTATGCTGAGTGAAATATCTCAGCTGCAAAGAGACAAATATTGCATGGTGCCACTGCTGTAAAATGGGACTGATATCAGGGTTGTGGTAAGATGGAGAAAAACTGGATAAATTGTGTATACTGCACTGAAACAGATGAGGGAGAGAGTATTATGGTTATTACAAGAGTCCACAATTAAGGTTGCATAGTGGAATGTACTTGGGGCGGTGGGATGGGTGCGGGGGGATTGTGTACCAGGGAGGGAGTATTTCTTTTAAAAGAGAGGAGCAAACTGGGGTGGGGGGAGGGGGAGGGCTGGGCAGGGACAGAAGTGCAGCAATGAATGAATGGAAATCCAAAATCTCTGTAAATGTTCACTAAAATTAATAAAAAAAGAGAAATGAAAAAAAAATAAATATAACCATAAAGGGGGGGGGGAAGAACAGTGGTTACTCTCATATGAAAGAGCCCTGGTGGTATAGTGTTTAAAGTACTTGGCTACTGAAAGGTCAGCAGTTGGAGCCCATGATGTGTTTAACAGGACTAAGATGAGGCCGTTGGCTCCCACAAAGTTGTAATCCTTGTGGACCCTGTGGGCCAGTCCCCCTTCATCCTGTCGGGTCATTATGGACTCAAGCCGACTCAATGGCACCGGGTTGGGTTTGGGTATGGCTAGACTGGTGGTGTTCTTTATATTCTGCTGCATTTTT